CCATGCTGCCCATGTTGGCCTGCAAGTCGGTGTCCTGCCTGGATCCCTGGGTATATGCCACAAGCCATCCCAAGTACCGCCTGGAACTCGAACGTCGCCTACCTTGGCTGGGCATACGCGAGAAACATGCCACCGCCGCTGCGTCCGGCGGCCAGGAGAGTGTGGCCAGTGTCAGCGGCGATACATTGGCCATGAGCGTGCAGAACTAATTGAACACGGAGTAAGAATATACGAATCCATGACATATCAAGCAAGTAAGCAATGAACTACAAAAGTTCCAAAAATAGAAAACAAAAAAAAGTTGGCATTAAGAAAGAACTCAAATTTGCTTAGTTGAAAGAGGAGGAGGAGAGAAGAGAGGGAAGCAGGCTTTTAAAATAGATTAAAATGCCTTCCACTAAGTACATACATATGTATGTACATATTCAGGCACAGTTTCTGGAGCTGACCGCAGCACAGACAGCAAGTCGTTCAGCCATGTCCAATGAATGAGCAGCGTTCCAACCACCAGTGTCGAGCAGGCCATTGAAATTTTTCTCATTTTTCATTCGACACAAACATCGCCAGTTGCAAACGCTGTGGCGCAGTGGAAGCAGCCGCCAGCCGCCGCATCAGCCCATAAAGTTGAAAAAGTTGCGCTTCTTTGTTGCTTGCGCACATCCAACCAATCCGCGTGGCCAACAGCGGCGTTTCAATTCAGCGAATGTTCCACATGGTAACAGGCGAACAGGCCGCATAGCAGCCGTTTACAACATTTCTACACTCTGTTAAAAACGTGATTGGCTGGCTGAGAAAGAGCAGCGAGTGATTGGTGTGCGCCTGTATGCGTGCGTATCTGAGTCCCAGCATGTGTGTGTGTGTGTGTGTGTGTGTGTGCGAGACAGGCAGGCTGAATGTGGAATGAGTGGGGTAACCCACTCGAGCTCACTCGCGGGCCGAGTCATGCCCGATACATTGCCAAATAGAGCAAACGACGACAATGCACACACACACACACATGCACACACGACTACACACAGCATGCTGGGGCCGGGGCTTCTTCTTGCTCTTTAAGAAACAACAAACATTTTTACTAGGTCTGCATGAGATTTAGCAGCATGCTCTCCACTCGGCACGATTAGATTTTCAGTGAAAACTCAATAGAAATTATGTTAGAAACCACGCAACAGGTGCGAGCGAGATAAATATACGGGCATACAACGTATACAGAGAGTGTGTGTGGGATTAGAGATGTTGCTGCTCTGTCTGAGAAGGGGGGAGAAGGGGGGCCCTGGGCTGCTGCTGCATTCATTTGATTTGGTGCTTGGTGCTCGGCGAATGGATAATCCAATTTGCGCGCACTCAATTGTAAAAACGCTTCCCCATATATGTTTTGTATATACGTAAGAAACACACGGCTAATGGGCCTCTCGAGCGATTCGACTCCAATTTGCGGTCGTTTCCCTTATGTACATACATGCATGCATACATATGTACATATATTGTGCGCCTGAAGGCAGAGACACAAGACGACTTGTTGCATGTAATAATAATAATAACGAACGAAACGGTATCTCGTAGCTGTTTAGTGGATGATTAAACTGAATTTAATCGTTTGCGAACAGGCGCACAGCACTCAACTGTATGCTGCGACGCCTTCTACAGTCGGGCTGCAGTTTACCTTTTTTCTTCTTCTTCTTCTTTTTTCGAAATTAAAACGATTTCAAATTGCCTACTCAGAAGCGTCGCACAGCCGGCACAGCTGTTGTCTCGCTTGCACTGCTGCACTGAGCCAATGGCAGCGAATTGGCATGGTGGTTGTTGAGAAGGAGGGGACAGAGGCAGAGCGATGCCCGTTCAGTTTGAAAATTCGCCGAATTTCATTATATCGTTGAAGTTTGTACACTTGCCTGCGCATGACTGTTTGCAGCAGGGCATTTAATATTGATTTAGCTGCAGCTCTCTCGCTTGCACTTGTCACTCTCACAAGCTACCAACTCGCCGCCACTCGCTCTGCTCTCTCTCTCTCTCTCCCTCTCTCTCTCTGCTACAGCACATTAATCGTCTTGCTATTATTGTGGCAATCCTAATATGCAATGCCAACTGATGGGGAGGGCGCCTGTTAGTTAGCAGGCGAAGAGCGCGCGAAAATTAACATGACGAAAATCGATAGGCAGACATTAAAGCTGCTCGCTACGCCCAGTTCTGTGACTCTGTTAGCATTTGAACGTTAAAAATTCGATTTTATAGAATGCAGCAACGCCCACAGAGGCTATAAGAGCCGGCCGTCGGCAGTCGGCGGCCGATGAACACCGGCAGTCCCGCTTCAGCTAATTGTACAGAGAGACTGCCGCCCCGCCAGGCCCGGCCCCCCTGCAAGTTGTGGTAATGGCAAGTAACAGAGGCGTCGAGTTCGACTGCCTACTAACAGACCAGCTGCTACACATTCTGCGCGCCTCTTAGTTATTATGTCAGATCTGCAATGCGCGACTATAAAATACGTAGTCGGCCTCTGAGAATTTATTGACTCGCCGCCCCGGGCAACGGGTGTGAGTTATAAAATTGATGGCATAAACTGTCATGAATTTATAAATATGAGTGGGCCACACTGTCGCATAAGGCTGCCAGCTGGCCATTGCTGTGCGCCTGCTGTTAATTTTCGCTTGTATGTTGGTAACATTGTCATTTCGAGTGCTCGAGTCTCTCGCCGCAAGTGCTGACTGCTACTCTGGCAACGCTGCTGTTGCCCATCTATTCGCACCTGCAGCGCGCATGTTAATGCTGCTGGCTATGTAAGAACAGTTCGTGATGTTTTTTTTTTGTGTGTGTGTGTGCAGTCGAACATACATATTTGTATTGGAGGCAACCTCAACCTCAACATTCTTGCGGTCGCGTGGCAGTATTGTCGGGCTGCCAGATTCGATCACTGGACGCCGCGCCACAGCCATGTTGGCTTTGGCGCGCGCTCTGGCAACCCTGCCGCCGCTGCGCTCCCCGCTGCACGCTTCACGCTAAATGCCAAAGCATTCCAAGCATAACAATGCCGTCTGCTTTACGCTGTTAGCCTGTTCGGGCAAGTAAGTGAAATTTCATGCAAAACCATTCATCGGAAATTTCAAATTCCCCGCATTCTTTTGTGTCGTGCTATTTATTATTATTATTTTTCGGACTGCGTAATCGTGATCATGATGTTTAAGTTTGAGTTATTTTGTTCGCGTTGGCGTTGTCACTGTGTGCTATGTTTTTTTTTTTGTTGTTGTTGTCATCTATTTGCATATGGAATCAAATGAATATGAATATGGAGTGTTATTACGCTTCCATCTGATCCGTCTGACACCCTTTCAGGTATGTACATATGTCTTTATCTATAAAAATTGTATTTTTTTTTATAATAAGGTGTTTCATATTTTATTTTTCTGTTTAATTTTAATACGATCAAAAAGTGATCGAATTCGGATATTTTTATTTATTCCGTAATGTGTAACGTGCTGCAAGACGAACCCACCTTCGACATTAGCTTGCAGCATGTTAGCAGCCGTCGCCTTGCAACATGCAACAACAACAACAACAACAACTCGCATGGGCAACTTGTTGCCTTGCACGTTGAATGCTCGCTTTACTCGCGCTTTATATGTGCATATGTATGTATGTTATCAATGCAAATGCATATACGCACGTTTGCCTGCAGCGATTCCTTAAATTCAAGGTGGACCCTAGCCCAATCCATAAGGGCAGAGTCAGACTGCATGCGGCAACATGCACGCGCGTTGGGTCGTTGCTTTGGGGTGGTGGAGCTGCTCCATCTTCTGGGTTAGACGCACTATTGTCCTCTGTAAGTCCTCATTGTAACAAGCGCCCAGAATCATTGTCTTACGCATACGTCGCCCAGACTCACAACAATAAAATCAGCAGCAACAACAACAACAACAACAACAACAACAACAACAACAACAAAATGCCAATGCAAAAAGTCGCCATAAAAAGAAGCTACGCGAATTGTCGTCGCATCGCTGAAAGTCGCTTTGCCAGGCGTCGCCCAAAAATAAATGCAATGCGCTCTCCATATATATACACTCAGTATTCATCCTACACACACAGACACCAACCAGTTGCCTTCGAGATCTCAGCTCGTTGATTAACTCGACGGCTTCCAAGTTCATTGCCCCAACTCAAGGCGATGTGCAAGAGGAAATTGAGAAAAAATTTACAAAATAAAACATCAAGCAAACAAGAAACCGTGCTCTACTTGGGAATGCCCGACTAGGAGATATTCTGAAACCAGCGCCGACCTGCTCCTTTCAACATAACACACTTGCAAAATTTGGTTTTATGCAATTTTGATGGGAACGAAGGGACACTATATAAAAGTTTTCGTTGCAAAATTGATGCCTTCAGCTCCGATTTTTATTGATTTCATGGAATAAGGACAAGTTCAAAAGTTGAAACCTTCAGTTCTTACGGTTTCCCATATCGCGTCTATTCATACGGACGGATAGCCAGACCCACGGACATGGCTAGATCGAGTAGGTTATTGATGCTATTGATTGATAAGGTTCCGAGATACCTCCTTCTGTCTGTTACGTACAGGGTATGATAAAAAGCAGAAATCATAAGGAAATAACTGAGATTGTATGTTTCTTTTAAGTTCTGTGCTCCCATATTATGTTTCAGCTCTGCTCGGGTTATGCAAATTCATATGTAAGAAAGAATGAGAGGGTATCAATCAAAAGGCTGTAGTAATCTGTACAGTGTACTCTATTGGCTATATCCACAAGTCATATTCAGCAATATACACATTCATTTAAATATTTATTATATATGTACATATATGAGATATATATGTATGTAAATGTAGCCTTTACCAATTAAACTAGCGAAAATATTGCTTAAGTCTAAGACTTGAAATAAACATTTTGTTCTGGAATTGATTTGGCATGAGAGGCATCTGTGTCTAGCACGTGTCCTAAGTAGAACTTAACTAAAATCTCTAAAGCTCCGGCTGAGTACATTTTATAATTTCCTTAGTTGAATTAATATATATATATTTGGTGCCATTAAATAAGAACTCGTACGGGTAGAACTCTATTGCTATATACTATAACCGGACTGGTAATTAAATATATATGTATATATATGTATATAAATTAGTATAGTTGTCTTTTTGTGTAGTAATATCATCGTAACACTTGGCTAGCAGAGCAGGACAATGTTGCCGCTCTCGTTGCCTGCAAGGAAGGCGCGATTTAGCGGCAACACCGCGAGAGATGTGAGTACGCCCCGAAACGTCTCGGAACGAAGTTTGGTGACAGTATTGAGGGCATGCGAGTTGGCCACATCCGCATAGACACCTACACGATTCCCGGTTGTGGCATAGACCAGTGAGGAGCCAACGCTTTGCAGGAAATGGGCAGGCTCCGGTGGCGGTCTGTTAATAGTAGGCAATGAAATTCGAGTTTGAAATTTGATGGCCAACTTACTTGAGCTGATAGTGTAGAATGCCGTCCAGGGCATGCCATACGGCCAGGCTGTGGTCGAGCGCCGAGCTAATAAGCACCTGATCGCTGGGCGCCGTCAGCTGCAGCAAGTCACATTCCATGGGCCGCCAGCTGTTGAGCACAATGCCGGTGCGTGTGTCCAGCTGTACAATGCCGCCCGAGGAGAGACCTGCGGCTAACCAATTGCCTGACGGCGCCACCGCCAGACAACGTACTGTGGCATTTGGCAAAGCTGCAGGGCAGACACGCCATTCATTTACATACTGCATGGAGCGCGCATCAATGATCCTGACCGTGGACTCGGCCGTGCCAGCGACCACCAGCGGCGAGTGAGAGGGCAAGCATTTGACAACGGTGACCGCACTGTGCCTGGGCGCATCCAGTATGCTCAGCGGTCGTCCTATGAACGGATCCCACAAGTGCACACCCGAATCACAGGAGACGACATAGCGTAGCGACTCTAGGAAACTGAGGGAGTGTATGGACTTCTTGTGCGCTGTGTAGGTGAACTGACAGGCGGTGCTCTTGCGTCCATCTCCCTCGCTGCGCAGCGACCACAGTTTGACCGTTTTGTCCTTGGAGGCGGACACAAAGCTATTCTCGTTCTCCAGCGCATAAATGGCTCTCACCGAGTTCGTGTGGCCTACAAAGGATTGCAGGCGAATTTGCTTGAGGTTTAGTGCCTGGTTGTCCTTCTCGCTGCGGGTCGTCTCGTGCCGCCAGTAGGCCAGCCAGTTGCCTTTTAGGTGTCGCGTGCTGGGCATATGGTCCAGTTTGTAGGCAACCATATCCAGCAACTCCATGCTGCTGCTAGAGACCTGCAGCCGGTTGCCGACAACCTGGGTGCCAAAACTATTTGCTGCGGTCTCGCAAAGCGCTGCATCCGTGACATCCACTGGACTAACTATTGCCGACTGGCTAAGCTGCGCCTTGTCCTGTCCAGCGCCCGGTTGCTCATGCTCGTGGCACAAAGTGAGCACGAATTCCATGTTGCTTAACGTGCGTTGCATTATGGACTCGCCCAGGAATCGCAGAAATGCCAAGTAGGCAGTATGCGCAAGTTCCGGTCCGAATACATCGCGCAGCTCCTCCAATGCCCGTTGCTGTTGGCCTAGAGCTGCGCTCAGCGACAGATTGGACAGATTACAACTTAATTCGTTGGGTAGTCCAAACGCCTTGTTGAAGATCAGAAAAAATGGCGCGAACAGTGACTGGCACAGATGCTCCCGAGTCATGTCCGAGCCCAGGCGCACACTCAGCGCATAGCAGGCGTCCAGAAATTTGCGAGCCAGCAGCGAACGCCCCAGGTAGCCGCTGGGCATTAGCAGATTGGTAGAGCTCAGTAGACGCAGTATCGGCAGCAGAATGGCATCCAACAGCATGTGCTGCAAGTGTTCCATTATGGTGGCATCCATCAGGCAGGGCAACATGTACTTCACCAGCTGCAGCGAGCTGATGATGGCGCCCTCGAGGCTGCCCGTCATCCGCTTCGAGCAGAGACCAATCAGCTCACTTATGTGTGGAAAATACTGCAGAAGAAGAAAATTTTCGCCATAGAGCGCTGCAAAATAAAAGAAATGGAAAGGAAATGTGAGCAACACTTGCATTAAACTGTTCCCTATGAAGATGCACCTGGTGATAGATGGAAGATCAATATAATCTGTGACTAACACCGATGACTAACAAATTAAATGTAAATATTCCAATCAATTTATGGTACTGAAGTGAGACATACCCGCAATGGACATGAGGCATTCGAGAACGCGAGCCGCGCTGCGATCGCCGACAACGCGGGCATTGGCAATGCTGAAATAATTGAGATTGGAGGCATCTGCCGATAAGTCACCGCAGTTGCCCGTTTCGACCTCGGGCAGCAGATTTTCCTGGCCCACGTAGCAGAGCGACAGCAGCTTGAGCAGATTGCGTGTTATGTGGCGAGCAGTGAGCACCGGTCCCAAGCGATGAGATAGCCAGACGAGACTCTCGGCGCTCATCTCGCTAATGCGATTGTTTTGCAGGGCCTTGGCCTCCGAGATGCGCGATATGACCGAGGCCTGGAGTGAGTCACAGCCGTCGGTATCCGCTTGCGGGGCAGACTCCGTTGACTCATTGGCCGCTGTGCCGGTAACCTGGCTGATGAGCTCAAAGCTGTCGACGCTCTTGCGGGAGCCAATGTCACAATCGATGGCGCTTAGCTGGAAACTGCGTCTTATGCTGCTGGCGGGTATCTCAATGGTGGGTGAACGTGGCCCAATCAAGGGCGCCGGCATGGCGGGTGGTGGTGTCTGTTCCTGGCTCTGCAGCGACAACTTATCTGGCGATAATTTGGCGCCGTACATAAGCTCATTGATGGCCAGCTTGTCGGGTGAGCTGCCATCGGACTCGCGCGCCTCCTCTGCAATGGCTGTGGACGATGGACGCATATCGAAAGAATCAACAGATTTGTTCTCCTGATCCTCCTCGAACGTGAATAGCTCCTCAACGTCTGGCTTGGGCTCCGGCTGCGACGCTGGCGGCTCCTCTGCGGCATAGTTAAGATTCTTGCTGGTCCGCCGACTGCTACCGCGATGATAGTGATAGCCATTGCCCTGCTCCGGCTCCTTGTAGCCGCCAACAGCTTCGATTAGCGGCGCAATAAAGTGCTGCAGAAAGCAGCGGAGTCCAAAGCGCACGATTAGGCGTAGCAGGAAGCTGTGGTGATAGAGCTTCACGGATTTGCGCGACTTGAAAGAGCTGCTCGAAGAGAAACGTAAGTGGCCACCATTGTTATTGCTGCTGCTGCTGCTGCTGGCCGCATCGTCCATCTGAGCGCCGCTTTCCACGTCGTAAAGCTTGAGCATCGGTTGCAGCAAATGCATTTGGGTCTGTGCAATGCCCAAGGCCTGGGCAACGGGATCAAACAAATTCCAGGCAGTCAGTATTGAGGTGCGTTCATCCCGAAGCAGATCAATAATATGCGGCAGCAGCAGCTCCACAGGCGCAAACTGCTCATAGGCAAAGGCCAGCGGCTCGAGCAGGCGACGCACATGAGCACAGCAGGACATCACCTTGCACTCCGCAATCTTTCGTTCGAAAAGCACACGCTGGCGATCCAGTTCCGTGAAGCGCGCACACTCGCTGCCGCCGTTGCAGTTGAGATGTGTGTGCAGCTCGAGCAGCTCAAAGTTCAGCTGGAAGGCGTGCAGGGAGCGCACAAACGCATAGATCGAAATGTAGTTACTCGGAAAAGGCAGCAGCGCATGGCTGAACATGGGTTCCAGTAGCTGTGCCGCACTGGTCGGCACGGGCAGGCCCTGGTTGGGCACATTACTCTCTAGCTGCAGCAGCAGACGCACCACATGACGCACCGGTTTCGGCAGCTCCTGACTGTACAGCTGGACCAGCGTGCGGCAGGCAGACAGGCGGCTTTCTAGGCTCGCGCTTGGCCCGTTCGTTGTTAGTAGCGGTCGCAAACGCTGCATGGCATACAGCTCCACAATGAGGCAGCCCATCACCTGCAGCTCACGCTCACGGCAATCGGCCAGCAGCTGCTGCAGACTGTGCTGATGTCGCGTGCGCGGCACTAGCAGATTCTTCGAATTGGTCTGAATCGCCTCATCAAGTGCAAACAGCTGATTTGTGAATGAATGGTCGGCCGAGTTGTGCTCAAACAGCAAATCGCTGCTTATCATTTTCTCCTCAGGATTGGCTGAGGCGCGTTGCTGCGGAAAGGTGCGCGCATAGAAAGTCTCCAGAGATTCCAATTGCTGCAGCAGCAACGCAGGATTATAGTGCTCCGGCAGCTCAATAAAGTTGGTCATGGCGTAGAAGCTGGCGCCTGTGCTCGATGACTCATCATTTGGACGCAGTGACATTCGAGGTGAATTGCTCTCCAAGCAGCTGCTGCTATTGCTCATTGTTGAGGCGTGCAGATTCTCCGTGCTTCTGGCCAAGCGCCTGTTGTTCTTGCCCCTGCTGTTGCCATATAGCTGGCTCAGCCTGGGCGCGTATTTGTTAAACCAGGGCGAGACATACCGACGCGGCGGATGAGCCTGTGAGAACAGCTGTACGATGCCGCGCTGACTCAGATTGCAATGCTGATCTACCAGGCTGAGGCATACATTTTTGGATTTGATGGCCGCCTTGCCGCTTAGCTTGTAGCTGTAAAGAATTAAAGTAGGAGTATAAAAAATCTCAATAGGTAATCGCAAGCTACCCAAAATTTAAATCGATCCAATGATGCAGTCGCTCGCTAACGTACTGTGATTCCAGCGCTTCACGATGCTTGCATATAAAATCCTCGGGGCAAGTGGCCCACGCGGGCAACTCTAGATCGGGCAAGTCTTCGTGAATGCTTTTAAATATCATTGGATCTGAATAGAACTCGGGTATGCATTCGTCCGGCGTCCATTCCTGAAGGCGTTGTATCGACACCGGATACTCGGCGGGCACCCAAATGGGTCGCACATGGGCACAGAGTATGGATTGTGGCGTACGCCGCGCCATATACACGAAATACGTAATCTCGGAGAGAAAATCGGACACATGATGCGCCACCTGCAACTGCTCCACGGGCGTCACAGCCTCTGCTGCGGCATGCTGACTGGCGTGCGTGTACATGAGATCTAAATGGACGTCGCCTTTGTTCAGGCGATACTTGCTTTTGGTCAGATCGCGCCAATTGAGGCCGTTGCGGGCCGCAAAGTCCGTCACCCAGGGCATTATGTGGTGATAGGCGGCATTGGTCAGACTCCTGCCACAGGCATTGTTTAGTATAGTGAGATAGTCAAAGTTGGACAACTGCCCGTTGCACCACATTTCACAGTATTCGCGCAGATTAAATTGAGCTGGGTCGTAGGCCAGCTTGAGATCGATGGTGCTGCTGGAGGGCAGCTGTTCCGGTGATTCGGGCAACTCCGGGCAACTCAGCGGCGACATGGCCACAGTGGCGGACTGCTCGTCCAGCAGCAGATTGCACTGCAGGCGCGGCAGCACCTGTAGCCAAAGATTCTCGCGCAGCAGCACGTGCTGCAGTCGCAGATCACCCAAGAACAGGCCCTGATCCTGCAAATGCCGCGACACCTGCAACAGCTGATATATGATAAATAGCGTCTTGTTGTAGCCTCGACCAAGGAGTGCGGGACTGTAGGTGATGCAGTCATAAAGGCTGCTCTCCAGAGCTGGTGGATAATGGAATATGCAGTAGTGCGTGCTGGTCTCAATGGCCACCAGAGCAGGCAGCACATTTGCATGACAATCGCCGGTTAAGTCCTGGTCGCTGCTGGCCGTTCCATTACCCTCCTGTTTGCACTGCAGTACTGGGCAATTGTAGATGCGTTGTATTAGCTCTCGGAGCACCACATCATGCGGCTGTAAGCCTCCCCCGTTTTGCGGCTTGGACTGCGTTCCTGCACCCGACCTGCACTGTTTGACATGGGCGTCCGCGTACTGCTTGTAGGCCGCCTCCCAAAGTTGCTTAAAGTTGAGATGTGCCACATTGGAAACTGCCTGCGAGTAGCTTAAGGGAAATTGTGTGTTTTCAAGGCTAGCACCTCGTGGAGGCAGCGGATGGACTTTACGCTGCGACTGTTTGCGGTATGTTTGTACTAGTATGCGTGTCCAGGGATGCTCCAGTGGTCCTGTGGGATGTGCACGTCGATCCAAATGTGGCCACTGTGTAAAGTGCGAGATTTTACGATGACATTCGAGCGCCTGTAGCCACTTCTTATCGCATATCAGTTTGTAGAGGCCCTCGTCTGATTCGCACACAACATGTTGTGGATTAATACCGATTTCTTGCCATATCGCATCGTCGCTATCGCCCATGTCTAAGCCTCCGACATCCGCCTATAACTATAAACTTGGTTCCAGCACAAAAACAAAACGAACTGTGCAAATATAGAGATGGGCTGTGACAAATTCGAGGGCACGATATACACACGCACGACTCAGCACGATATTTGGTTCGCTCATAACACAAGACACACAAATTAATTGCAACTCATTTAAAAAGTATGCATACTGATATTTATTGAATACAATAATAATTGTATGTTTATCGTTTAATTGTGGTTACTAAGTTTTGCGTGCCATATTGTTTCGTGAACTGTGTTGTTTTGCAACACTGTCAGCTGTGTCAAGAAACTGGGCCCGTTCTAAAAAATACCAAAAAAAAAAACCAATCTTGTAATCGATTATTTGTTTGCAAAGAGATTATATCGATAACATTTGAATCCATTCAAAATGTACAGCATCTTACACTTTCACAACTGAGCTGTCAGTTAAAGGTTAAAACTATTTTTTTGTTTCTGGATATTTAGAAATCCACTCAGCGTCAGGTTAACGGCCAAGCATTGGGCTGTTTATGTGTGTCGAGTTCAAAAGGCCAGCGGCGGCTCAGCGGCAACGGCAACGGCAACGGCAACAATAATGCGAAAACACTTGATGATGGGTTGTTGACTGGCCGCACAATCCAATGTCATGTTGTTGTTATTTTAAAGAACGGCGCAAAATTATAAAATAAATAAACATATAAATAATGAGTACATATATTGAACAGCTATGGGCGTAATTTAACATTCATTGTGCTTATCAGCGACATTTGTTAAATTTGTTTATTCATGCAAAATCCAAAATCGAGAGAGTAGAAATTAACAAAACATTATATTTGGAAAACTTTTTGAGACTACATATATAAACAATCCAAAAGCTCAATTTTACATCAATCCGAAGCAACGAGCGGGCAAGAAACATTAGCTAATAATATAAACAAGCTATAGGGAAATTTATAAATGAAGAACCTTATTTAAAAAGATCTAAGAATTGAAATTTTTTTTCTATCGTTTGCCGCGTTCTTTGCGTAAGTCTAATCTTATCAGTGGGATTCTATGCGAACGTTATTTTAATTGTATTACTAACTATTTATTTGCTTTTGCCTTGTCGGCATCTTAAAGAGTGGCTCGTAACTCAGACGAACAATTGTTACACCTGGCGAAAGGTCAAGGTGTGCCATTGTTTATTTTATGCTTTATGCTTTATGTATGTGCGTTAAAAATTTTCCACTATTTTGCTGTGGCCGCATGAGACTAGAAATTAAAAAGATTGTTATTATGGCAAGCGTATGGAGAGAGTAGGTCATTAATCTATCAAGCTCAGACCGTCAAATAGTCGCAGAATACCCGTTTAGTGGGCATATTCACACATCGAATGCGCTGCAGCTGCCCGAACAAAATGGGAAAACCCCGATATGCCCGAATCTGCATCCTTTGGAGGTGTTTAATGATAAGTGCCGTTTACTTCCGTTCTTAATAATTGCCAGCTAAAAATATCATTTATAAATGTAAAATGCATCACGCATGTGTCTCTCGGCTTTGGCTTTTTAATGCGGCCACGCCCCCCAGCCTCTGGCTACTGGCTGCCGGATCCGGCTGTGTTTATTAGGAAACACTCGAGCAAATATTGAGACAACAAAAAAATGCCACAATTAAATATTTAATTCGCTTGACAGGCGGACAGTTCGAGTATGCGAGTATTTGCGTGCTAAAGGTTCTTACAGCTTTTCACACTTTTAATGAGTTTTGCACACAAAATGTGGATATAAGTATATAAATATGTGTGTATATATATATATATGTATGCACATAAGCAGGCCTCCCCCTGAGCAGTTGCTTGTTTTTTATTACTTCTTTATCATATTTGATATATGTACTTAAACGAATTGTAAATGCATATATGGCCGTACGTACATATATTTGGGCCATTTAAAAAAGCTTAAAAATGCTCGGGAAATTTTACCAAATACGAGTACGCCGTAAAGCGGCACTCGCAACAGCTATTGAACCATTAATGAGCTGTTCGAGCAATTAAGATATTAAGATATTACGAGTTTCGATGACACACCTACAAAAAGAAAACAATTATGCCCACAGGTGGATTGGAAGCGTGCGACTTCAATATAAACTGAGTCACATGTACACAGATTTATATCGGATATATGCTATCGTATCGGATAGAAATAGATATCTGGAATCTTATCGGCAAGATGCAGTTCGCATTTGAAGGTAACTCTTGCTGTTACTTTGGTACAAAAGTCATTGATTATAAAGTTGCTGGCGCTATAAAGATTAGAATGTATATTATTATTAGTACCGTTGTAAAAGCTATATTTAAGATAGCAAGTCGCCTGCCTTTACGACTTGTGCATAAGTAAGATAATGCCAACCCGGGAATATTACCTGCTAAAAAAAAAAAACTAGAAAAAAAAACCCAACATAAATGCAGGGTAAAGATCAAAACGCATTGGCCGACTCCGACACACACAAGCACACACACACACACACACACATACACACACACTTGGCTAACTTGACAGCCTTCAATGCGCTGGCGCCCCTGGAGATCACTCAACTCTCTGGGGATTGAGCTGCAGCCAGCAGCAGATACTTGTTCGAGTCCAGCTAAACTAGTTCGAGTCTCGTGACAATTTTTCACGACTATGAAAAAACTTTGGCTAATACACCCGCAGCCAACGTCTAATGCCATGAGCTTGTGGTTTTCCTGGCGAGTCGACCCTCAAAGTGTCAAAAACTGTTTTAGTGCTCGACTCATTTGCAGCTATTATACATATATTTGAGTACTTTAATTGTTGAAGTATCTATTAACTGGTTTGTTTTTTTTTTTTTTATTTTATTTTTTGCCATCGTTCTAGTAAACAAAGCGGTGATTACCCGCCTGAGTTGTGATCAAGTTGTGCTGAAAATTATGCAAAAACTTACATTCGTAATGTAAATATAATTGTGTAACTTTATGAAAAATACCCAAGCAAGGGAATGTTTGGATAACTGCAATATTTAATAGTTTTAATGAGATACTTTTTTTTTATTTTTATTTAGAATGTTTGTTAATTCCCAAACGATTAAATTTGTTGTTGATTTGATAAATATATGCAATATTTTCCACATATATAGATTTTAAAGTATATTTTATTTGAAAATAATTTTATTCTGTCTGTTTTAACAGTTTGCGAATTATAAGTGAAAAAAAACACGTGTGTGTATTCGAAAAGAAAGAATCTGGAAAGGGAATTCAGTTCAAGGCTGTCAGATCTTTTAGACTTTATACTTGTTTTATATATAATTTATTATAAATTTAAAGATAAGTATAGTATAAGTTAAGCTGTACTAATGCTGCTACTTCTTGAGAAGCTCAAGGTCAGGGACATTGATTATCTACAAAGTGCGCCCGTATTGCCCAGATACAGAGTCGGAGTCGGGAGTCGTAGTCGGAGTTGTTTCCTAATTAAGGTTATCGTTATTTACCCGGCAAGTGACACATGATACAATATATTCTCCAGCAAGCTTCCCCGGCATGTTCCCGATGCCTTACCCAATATAAATGGAAGTGCGTTTCGCAGCGACACTTGGGCATGTGACTGTAAAATGCAACGCTGGCAAAGAGGGTGCAATGATCCGTAATTTGACTCAAAATCGAATCAAGTGCACATTCTTATGACTGGGTCTGCACTTGTTGCCGAGATGCATCAGAAGTCGCAGCACCAGCACCGAGTCGTCTGTGCCCATGGAGGGGATTCAGAATTGTGCCAAGAGTTTCGTTTGCTGTGGAACGGCTTTCAGTTGTATTTAATTGACCCAAACGCAGAGTGTGGCGCCTATTGGAGCTGTGTTTCAGTTCCATCAATTCAGAGGTCACAGTCCGCACTTTACTGATTGACAAAACACTTGCCGAGACGCGGCGCATACCATAAATAGACGTCCGTCCATCCATAAAGGCATTTTATTTCGTACGCTTCAATTAATTTGTACGAATAAATAACGCAAAATACTCAAATGAAAGTTAGATACTCAGAGTATGGCCAGTATTCGTAGTCGACTCATATATACGTACATAAATATACCAGCTTGAACCGGAAATGTTTTCGGTCAGGGACAATCGGGCGGCGGTTTTAGCCGGATTTGGGGCTTTGCATGAAAATATACCCGATATTTTTGGTCGTTTTCAATACCCTATAACCAAGCATGAGACCTTTATAGGTAGGTTGTCCACGTAGCGTGTTACGTATTGAAAAGCGCATATATTTGTCTTCCTCTTCTTCTGCTCTTCAACAGATCTGTTTAGTAAATAATACATAGATTTGGTTATCGTAAAAATAGATGATTCACTTCAGATGGCCATTTATTTAATTTACCGTGTGTAGAGGGTATTAAATGTTCGGTATATCATTGAGAACATTTCTTGTCATTATTATTTGGCATAATTTTTATTTAAATATTATACAAACAATTCGATTTCAATTACAGACTATCATGGTGTGGCATGCTATGATGGCTAGTTCGCTGACTTGTGGCCAATTGAAGAGCCGCCACCAATCTAAAACAGAAACAAGAAAGAAGGGCTATTTTCGGCACGCCGAAGATTGAATGCTCTCATAGTGCGTTGCCCGTAACTAAAAACCTACTTTTCGACCGATCGTTCCTATGGCAGCTATATGATATAGTAGTCCAATGTAAATAAGATCTTGCAAAAATGAAGGGAGCATAGTGAAAACGCTAAATGCCGAGTTTTGTCAAGATGAACTGCAAAACAAAAAAGTTTTCCATACAACAACCAAATTTTCGACCGATCGTTCCTATGGCAGCTATATGACATAGTGATCCGATGTTGATAGGGTTTTGCATATATATGAGGAGCATAATAAAACTAATAAATGCCGAGTTTTGTCAAGATTTCTTGTAAAACAAAAAAATTGCCCAAACAAGAGACTACTTTTCAAGCGATCGTTCCTATGGCAGCTATATGATATAGTAGTCCGATAGACTAGTTCGCATAGAAACAGACAGACGGACATGGCTATATCTACTCGCATCTGGATCAAGAATATATATACTTTATGGGGTCGGGAGATGTCTCATTTTTGTGCGTTACACATTTCACGACAAAATTATAATACCCTCTGCAAGGGTATAGCAACCGCGATGAAGATCATCACACGCAGTTCCGAGCTGTCTGATCGGACCGGATTACATACGGATCACATGCGTGAGGGGGTAGGG